TTCAGCCGCTCTCTTTTCCATTCAGCTCGCGTGGGGAGTATTTTTTTCAGAGCAGATCCATCCGACTGGAAGAGCCCTCTTTTCTCACCCAGCCGTGTTCTGGGTTACTGTTTTCTCGCCTCCCTGCTTTTCGAAGGGCTGTACAAGATGCCCTCCATGTTAGGATCTTTCTGGGCGTTGAAGCCTTTTAAGCCAGCTTCCACTTGAAGAGCTACGGCCAGACAAAAAACTCTTTTCATCTGAATCTCGGCAGAACGATTCCAGGAGTTTGTAAAGGTTTTTGTCTCAGATGCAACAGCTTGGCAATTGTTTGCAATAATTTCTGCTTAGTTCAGCCAAGTATTTCCCTCTGTAAAAGAACGCTCCCTGCTGAAAACCTGATTTTTGGTTGGAACTGCTTCACCTTGCCTCTAGATCAGGGAAAGGTGGGGGTGAACGTTGGAAATTATTTATTTTCACTGGAATAATTTTCTTCTGTGGTGACTTGTCTTGGTGCCCACCGGATATTCTTTTTTTTTTAAACCCCAAGCTGTAGTTTTCCTCCGTAGATTGCCCGAGTGACTCTCAGTTAGGTACTGGTGCCAACGCCGGGGAGTCGCACGCTGCTCACGTAAGGGGTGACAGAATGGAAGCCGCTGACTCTAGGAAAGGATCTCCAAGTGGCGAGGAGGGCAGGGGCAGCAGGACAGAGGGAGATGCTGGAGTGCTTCATGATGAGGTCTTCCCACTTCGAGAAAATAAAAATGCATGCACCTCAGGAAGAAGGTGGAGGAGCGAGCAGGGAGGAAGAGGCGAAAGGACGGAAATTTGTGCTCCTCTGAATTAATTGAAGAGCCTCAATTTGCTGTCCTTGACAATTTGCCTTTCCCCATCGCTTGTCTGCAAAAGCGCTACTGGATCTTTTGCTGTGCCATAAATTGCAATTTTCATGCAGTTTTTCCGAAAAAAAAACCCTGAAAAAACCCCAGTTTTTCTGTGCCTCAGGCAGAGAGGTGTAAGCAGAGCAGGGAGCTGCTGGCCTGGGTAAGTTCTGCCGCTGTCACCCACCCCAACGGTGACACGCGAGAACCAGAGGTTGGAGGTTTGGAAAATCCAAGCGCAGGCGCGTGGAAGCTGGCGTTCGTTGCAGCAGCTAAAGGAGGGCAAGCCGTGCCGCGTGCCCCAAGGAGGGGCTCCCCAGACGTATCCAAGCCCCCCGCGTTAACTCGGGGGATCTCTCCCGTCTCTCTGTTCCTCACGCAGACACCGAGAAGTCCCAACAGAACCAGACGGACGACTCCAACCCCGAGGACGGCTCGCTCAAGAAGAAGCAGCGGAGGCAGAGGACGCACTTCACCAGCCAGCAGCTCCAGGAGCTGGAAGCCACTTTCCAGAGAAACCGCTACCCGGACATGAGCACCAGGGAGGAGATCGCCGTCTGGACCAACCTGACGGAGGCACGCGTCCGGGTAGGACTGCAGCCCCCCGCCTTCCTGGGCAGAGCTGGTGGGGAGGAAGCTGACTGTGATACGAGCCACCACGCTGTCCCTAAACCAAGGAAGGAATTCGGTGCACTAGGAAATTCCCCTGTCTTGTAAATGCCACGCACAGATACGCCACGCTGGCAGTGCCTTCCTCATCCAGTGCCACCGTGCAATAACACGGGGAGGTGCAAAGCCCCAGCTCTGCCCCGCAGAGCCCCACTAGCCCGTGCCCCGACCCGGCAGACCCCGGCGCTATCGTCCCCCAGCCTTAGCCTTGCCGGAGGGCACCCTGTGGGGTTCCCAAACTGCTGCACAGTCACAGGCGTAGCGTGGCAGGGCTCCAGCTGGAAGGAGAGCTGCTCTCCGCTGCTGGAAATACGAGGTAGCAGCACCATGAATAGCTTTCCAGCAGCTTCCATGCTCTAGGAAGTTAAATTGTTTGAGTCACTCCAACGCTGATGGATTTCCCTGTTAGAGGAACACCCCTTCTAACAGCCCTCCCCAAACTGGTCCTGAGGGGAAGTCGAAACAAGAGAGGTTATTTCTTCCACTCAGCAGCTCTCAAACCACATCCCACAAACACTTTGCTCCCAAGTCACACAATCCCAACGCCTCCTCCTGGGCTGTGGTCACTTGGAAGTACAGCGAGTATTTTCCTCCCTCTTCCCTGGGTAAAGGGCATCCGTTTGCGAGTGAGTTGGGTTATTCTGTCCATTGTAAACTGGCAGTGGCTGGGTTGTGATCTAGGTGGTGATTCTTGCTGGGAGACGACCCTGCAGCCCAGAGGTCTTGCTGCACCGTGTTCCTGATGCTCAGCCTCCCGGCTGCCGGGGAGCGTCCCCAGCTGTTTGGCAGCTCTTGCCCTGTCAGGCAGGGGGGCTGGAGCAAGGCCCCTTCCAGGGACAGCCCGGAGCGTTTCCCATCCCCTCGCTCTCTCTCTCACAGGTCTGGTTCAAAAACCGCAGAGCTAAGTGGAGGAAACGGGAGAGGAACCAACAGGCTGAACTGTGCAAGAACAGCTTTGGAGCCCAGTTCAACGGACTGATGCAGCCTTACGACGACATGTATTCCAGCTATTCCTACAACAACTGGGCCACCAAGGGGCTCGCCACCAGCCCACTCTCGGCCAAGAGCTTCCCGTTCTTCAACTCCATGAACGTCAGTCCCCTCTCCTCCCAGCCCATGTTCTCCCCGCCCAGCTCCATCGCCTCGATGACCATGCCTTCATCCATGGTCCCTTCTGCGGTGACCGGCGTACCGGCCTCCAGCCTCAACAACCTGGGAAACATCAACAACCTGAGCAGCCCAAGCCTCAACTCCGCTGTCTCATCCAGTGCCTGTCCGTACGCCTCGACAGCCAGCCCCTACATGTACAGGGACACATGCAACTCCAGCCTGGCCAGCCTGCGGCTGAAGGCCAAGCAGCACGCTAACTTCACCTACCCGGCGGTGCAGACGGCAGCTTCCAATCTGAGCCCTTGCCAATACGCCGTGGACAGGCCCGTATGAAGGGCTGCCCTGCGGCGACCAGGGACTCGACCTTAGCCTGACGAAAGGAGACCTTTAGCCCCACAACAGCGTACGTCCTGCGGAGAATGAGAGCAAACGTGCGAGAGAGCGAGAGCGCGCGACCGGCGAGCAGGCAGATGGACCTCGACGAAGATTTGTCTAACTATCGTACGGTGAATTTTGACTGTCTTTCCCCCTCCCGAACCCGTTCCCCTCTTGCCCACCAAACGTCCTCCCTCGGTGAAGAAACCAAAACAGTCTACTGGAAGCCCTGTGGGGAAGCAGGAGCCCCGACGCGCGGGGTGCCTGACCCGCGGGCAGCAGAACCAAGCACGTTTCAATCTGCCCCTCCGAGGCGCCCAGGGGTGAGACCCCCAAGACCCTGGGACAGCACGGGCAGCCGGACGCCATCCCTGCAGGGAGCAGCCAGGCCCAAGGCGAGGCGGGGCCGACGTCCGGTGCTTGGCTGACCCCTTCCCCCTGCGCGCGGGTGAGGTTTCGGTTAAAGACATCTCGGCCGCTTACTTGTCACACTGCCGGGAAGGAAAGCCTTGCCTCCGTCGATCGGCGTCGCTCTTTATACCGCAGATACACTCGTGGCCCTTAAGACTTGAAGCCTTTAGCAACTGGGAGTTGTAAGGATATAAAATATGTGTGTGTATATATATAATCTCATATATATACAAATACATATATAGACATTAAAATACGCTTTTTTGTTTTGTACCTGAAATAACCTGCGAAGTAGGACCTCAAAACCAAAAACCCCATCACGCAAGCATGTCCACCGAGGCAGCGTCCTGCCCGCCATGCTTTACTGCTCCCGTCATTTCCAGTCAGGCAGGAACACCGCTGCCAGTACATCCAAAGCATCCCCTGTGGCAACAACCAGCTCCCCCTCGCACATCTCCTTCCCTTCCCCGAGCCCCGTTTCGGAAAAGGATAATAAAATAAAAGTTGGCACAGTCGCTTCGAGGCCTCTGTCTGCCTGGTTATTGCACCCGGCCGCCATCCCTGCAGGGAGCAGCCAGGCCCAAGGCGAGGCGGGGCCGACGTCCGGTGCTTGGCTGACCCCTTCCCCCTGCGCGCGGGTGAGGTTTCGGTTAAAGACATCTCGGCCGCTTACTTGTCACACTGCCGGGAAGGAAAGCCTTGCCTCCGTCGATCGGCGTCGCTCTTTATACCGCAGATACACTCGTGGCCCTTAAGACTTGAAGCCTTTAGCAACTGGGAGTTGTAAGGATATAAAATATGTGTGTGTATATATATAATCTCATATATATACAAATACATATATAGACATTAAAATACGCTTTTTTGTTTTGTACCTGAAATAACCTGCGAAGTAGGACCTCAAAACCAAAAACCCCATCACGCAAGCATGTCCACCGAGGCAGCGTCCTGCCCGCCATGCTTTACTGCTCCCGTCATTTCCAGCCAGGCAGGAACACCGCTGCCAGTACATCCAAAGCATCCCCTGTGGCAACAACCAGCTCCCCCTCGCACATCTCCTTCCCTTCCCCGAGCCCCGTTTCGGAAAAGGATAATAAAATAAAAGTTGGCACAGTCGCTTCGAGGCCTCTGTCTGCCTGGTTATTGAGAGCACAAGCCCGCGTCCGCAGACCCAGAGACCGAGCGTCCTCGGGATGCCAGCGCCAGGCAGCCCGGGGGGAGCAGGGCTCTGGGGTTTGGGGGAGCGGGGCTCTGGGGTTTGGGGGGAGTGGGGCTCTGTCCCTCGCAAATCACGCACCTGGCTCCCGGGGCGAGCCAAAGCCC